CCCCCCGCCCGCTGGGGGGGGGCGGGAAGCGGGTGAAAACCACAGAGCGAGCGCTTGGCTGCTGGCCCAGAGCGGCCCCGTCGTGGCTCAGGAAGCGTCGCCTTATGGGGCCGCTCTGCTTTACACTGGAGGGTGTTCTATGGTTTTAACCCTCCGTTGGCGGGAGAGACATGGGCAGTGTAGCTGTTGGGTCGCCCTCCCCCGGCCCCGCCCCGGGACACCCACAGGCAACCGGCCTATTATACACATATACATGAACACGTAAATGTAAAGATGCTAAGAAAAGCTCCATATACAGGAGCAACATGTGTTGGCAAGGGGAGAGGGTGGGGAATGGCACGGTGCTGTGAGGAAGGGCCCCTCGCCAGCATGGCGCATCCCTCATGGGGTGAAGTATTCCCCTTCGTTGCCCCAGCCAGCAGGGCAGGGGGGCCCAAAAATGGCAGATTAAAGGAAAATCAGACAGCAAAAACCAGAAATGCCCAGCCTTTTGTGTGTAAGAGCTTGGAAGGGTTACCCAGCTGCACGCTGCAAGCTGCCAGCTTTGGAGAGGGCAGAATCCTGTACTGACTTGCAGGTTTCCGTCTAAATCCTGGGTGATTTTGTATGAATTTCCACGCCTTCGCGTGCACCGAGCTCACCGGTTCTGCCTTCCTGAGCTGGGGGAGGCTGGAGGTGGCTGGAGGTGCAAGGAAGGAAAAATGGGTCGCCTGGGTGTGACAGGAGAATGTGGGTTTCGCAGCCCGTCCTGATAGAAATCAGTATTTGTAACTTTTTTCTTTTGAAACCAGCTGATAACCTGCCCCTCGGATAGAGGTGGGCACTCCAGGATGGGTGGCTCCGTTTCCATCCCCTCCGGCCAAGGAAAAATCAGGCATTGCCAGGTCAGCCTGCCAGTGCCTGAAATTAGTTTTAATTTCAACTACCTGGATAATTTTTGACGATGTTTTCAGGAGTGGAGAGTGTGTTTAGACATGTTCTCTTTGCTGGTGCCTTATTAAAGAGTCAGGCCAGGAGTAACAGCCCTCAGCTTTCCTAATGCTCCCGGAGACTGGTCGTGCTCCGTTCCGCTTACATATGCATCATCTCTTCACGAGACGTGCTACTTCGAAACCCAGTTTTTAATTGGTTGAATAAAAGGAGGGGTTTTGTGGTACAAGATGCTTCAGCTCATGGAATTGCTTTAGTATGAAACAGGATGGAGAAAAACATCCTGGAGTGAAAAAGGAGTTCAAGGACAGTTATCGTAAGGAAGGCTAGCATTTTCGGGTTACACAGCATATAAATTTATCAGCTGACACAAAAGAGGTCTCAGTGAAGTGGGAACTACTCGATAAAAGAACTTCCATTTAACACTGATCTGATATTATGCAGACGGTGAAACAGATCCTGATGAAAAAAATTCGACTTGTCGTCATGATTTCTTACAGGCTAAATGATGACTTTTGTTTTTCAGTAAGAACATGATTTGTTACAATATAATTTTAAGAAAGAAATGCATACAGTGTTGCACAAACGGAGTCACAGATCCAGATGAATCTCACCTGCATTTCAGAAAATCTTTATGGTATTACATATGTGTAGGAAAACAGATGCAAACAGTGAACTACACTGTGTGTTTCTGCCTGGAGGACCAGGCTGAAGGGTATGGAGGAGGTCAAACAACAGCAGTGTAGCAACCTATTATCAAAGAAAAGCCCAAATACAAAAGTAGCTTTCTTTTTGAACTGAGTATTCTGCATTTGAACAAAGAGTGAAAGGGGTCAGTAGAGTCAATCAAAGTTATACGATACCAGAGCATAATAACAGAAGTATTAACAAGTTTTCAAACTGCCAGCAAAGCAGATGGAGAAGGAATGGGAAACGCTGGCAGTAGCTTAGGGCCTATAGTTTGCTTTCTGTTATGATATTGTACATATCAAAATGAGTAAGCATACGTTCAAAGTGTTATGCATATTATAACCAATTGTGACACATAATAATGGCATTGAAATGATGTCCTCAAGACCTACATATAGATGTTTAAGTGAAAAGTTACTGTATTTGAGTACCATTGCTAGATATTAACGAAGACACCGGTGCTTTAATTAGATGCAGATATTTTCATCATTTCATTGTGCATTATTTTGATGTTCGAAGTTTTGCCTTTTTCTTCCTTGTAGATATGATGTTGAGAATCCACTAGATAAAATCCTTCCATCCAGAAAACATCAGCACAAAAGTGAAAAATGCCGCACAGGGACAATACACAATGGCCACTTACCCTCTGATGGGGATAAGAAGTTAAAAGAAAGTGGAGAAGATGATTTCTGAGGAGCTGAAATCCACAGTAAAGGAGAAGCCAAGGCCCAGGTCTGGTCTCATTGTCAGAGGAATGATGGCGGGACCAGTAGCAAGTTCACCAGAGGTGATTTTCAACACTTAGAAAATATTTGACTTGGCCATGGATTTTTTATCTTACCTTCTGCAATAAATTCATTTGCAAATAACATTAAAATGACTTCTGCATGCCAATCCATTAAATCTGCAGTCTGAAAATGACGTGGTAAGTTAGGGAAGTGGTTCTGGTTAACTCAGAAACTCAAACTGTTTCAGATATAACCACTACCTGCAGCTACCCCCTGCATGTCTGTGCTCTTATGTTACAGAATTTCTTTATAAACCTTTTCCATTCTTCATGTCTCTTGACAGATGGGATTTTTCATTTTCCTAGGAAAATTACTTTTTTACCTTAGCAGTATCTACAGCTTTCAAAGTTTTCTTAGGTATCTATTTTACTCAGGGCTTTCGTAACCCCACATTTAATCAGTAGCAGTGTGGAACTGAAAATTACTTTTCAGTTGGAAATATGTTTCTAAATGGGTCCAGTCAGACCATATTCAATCTGTAAGTGTTTTCAAAACACAGTTCTAAATTTCTTGCCTCTTTTTTTTTCCTTCATGCTGCTTTTATGCAGACAGGAACTTTCCCTGTGTAAAACTAGGCTTGTAATAATGAGAAGTTAAAATGTTTTAAACATCATTTAGATAATACTGAAGAGAATATGGAAGTTAAATGAAGTAGTTGGATTTTTCTAAATATCTCTGATTTGGAAATAAAAACTAGATGCCTGTAGTGGGCAGTCTCCTGTGAATGTCTTACATGTGTTGGTTTCCCGAGTTGGGTACAACCCCAAAATTAAGCTTTTAGGAGGTATTTTGTTGATGCTCTTGGGTAAAAGAAACTGATTTTTAACAGTATATAGCATCTTTAATACTGTTTAAAGTTTTAATACTGTTCACTACTTTTAAGTAGAAGTGTGTCTGTCTTATCTATTATCAATTTTTTAAAAGTCTGATTTACTGTATAACCTGATTCCTAATAATAAACAAATTGCTTAGAAATTAGTGATAGAGCTTTCCTTTGCTTTTCATGTTCATTTAAAGATGCTGAAATTTTATTCTATGGTTTTAATGGCCCTTATTTCTAGGATCTGCAAAAAAGGAGGCTTTCAAAACAATCCACTAGCATAAGCAGCACAGCACACTTCAAGGGTGAAGAACATGAAGAAAACGACCTGAGTGTCCCAAGTACTGATTTTCAAGAAAGCAAAGGATCTTCAATACAAGTAGATATGGAGTTTTCATCAAAGACTTTGTCAAGCTCACACACACGTTCAGCCTCTGAAAAACTAAGAAGCATCTCCAAAGATACAGATGACTCTTTTGCCAAACTGCTATCTGAAAGAGAGAGGACTGAAACAGAAGAAAGAAAATCAATTCCAAGCTTTGGTACAGAAAGCAATGAAAAAAGCCTTAAAGTGAGTGGCCCTCACAGACATTCAGGGTCTGGAAGAGAGAAAAGAGAAAGATCCCTCAGGAAAAGTGAGAGTCGGTTGTCAGGCCACAGGTAAGAATACTTGTAAGAATATTTTACTAAAATGTCGAGTGTATCTCGTGGAGGACTAGGAATGACTGAGATACACCTGATTTCACTGGGTGGAAGTAGCTGGAAGAGGTGGAGGTATTGAAAGGTTGAGAAGTTTTAAGATTTAACTTACTAACTTTTGACATCCCGAATCACTCAAGACTCCTTTCTTCATCACTGGAGAGACCCCAGAGCTGCTGGTTTCTCTTTACAGCTTCAAAAGGGAGATAGTTGCTAGTTCAGACGTAGACCACTTAGACGTCTAAGCAGTACAGGTGACTCCCACCTGTGGAGGTCATTTGCAGTGTTCCATGGAGACATTGCTCGCTCCTTAGGAAACAGTGTTGATTACCTCCAAATATTGCCGTAGTACATCCAGATAAACTCAGAGGATAAGTAATACCAGCCAACTGCATACGTATGTCCACATGGTTCAATGCAGTGCTGTCTTGAGATATCCGAGCCATGCCTGAACAGGCTGGTTTAGCTACCAGTGTGGTGCTGTACCGTGTGGAGACATGGCGGTTTGTCTTTGAAGCAGGACAGCCTGTGTCATTGCAGTATTTAGGCTAAGCCAAATTAGTGTCCTCCTGCACCGTGATACTGCAGCCACGCAGCTCCTGTGTCTCAAAATATTTTACTCAAAAGTTAGCTGGGACTTTTTTTATTGTGCTGCATTTCTTCACGTTGATATGAAAGTTTTAGAAGAGCCTCCTTCTGTGAACTCCAAATACGTATTTTTGGCTTTTATCTGTCGTATAAACTTAATCGATCTTTTTTTTGGTGGTCTTTTTTTTCTGTGCGGAATTTGAGAAGAGTGGGAGGCATGGTATTTTGTTTATTTGAGGGTTGCTAAAGCAGTAAGACCCAGAATGCCACATCTCAAAGCTGGCTTTGTAGTGGGACTATGGCTTGGGCTGGGTTTTCAGATGTTTCAGGTTGAGTCATCCATCTGAGTTGAACCAGTCTGGAATTCTGAGTCGTGGATGATGCTCTAGGTTTGAGCAGCGCAGCACAACTGTGCTCTGTCCATACGTATATAAAATCTGCATAATAAAAACCGCTGCCTCATTATCTAGCACTTCTCATTTGCAGCTCTCACACAACTTTAAGCAGGGGGCGAGTATCGCTCTGCCCGTACTACAGATGGGAAACCAGAAGCAGGTAGAGAGAAACCTGCATGCCACAGGTGACGCAGCATGTCAACATTTACTCTTTACGACATGTGTGGGGCTCAGGCACCCTCGGTTGGTCTTGTGGTGCACTCCCAGTGCTAGAGGTGAGTGTGTGTTACATTTAGTCGAAATTCTTTCAAGTTTATATCACCTGCTGCTCCATAAACTAAGGCACATGGCATTATCCCTTTCTGTGGACCATAAAGTAATATTTTTGTTTTATTAAATTCAACAGTAGCCAAGGTTGTTGCTTTTTTTTTTGAAGTGCTAAAAAACCTCATGGATATGCTGAAACTGCAACCACAGATTTTTAAAAATTATTATTAGTATTTTGTTTTTCCACTGAATTTCTTATAAATCTTGAGACACTGTGTTGAGGCCCTGTTGAGATCATGAGGAAGCAATGATACGTTAGGTCTCTCCACACTTGTGTTAGGGGCTGTGGGAGTTAACAAACTGGGGATCTACTGGAGCTGCAAATGGACCAGGAGTAGCATTTGCTTACTGTCTGAAACCAAAAAGCAACTGAAAGTAGCCACAAGCGTTAAGCCGTTATTTATCTGTGTTATCTAACTTCGTTTGTAAAAGTTTATGGAGTAACAGGCCAAAGTACTACAGTCTTTAAAGTCTTAAAAGCCACAAGAGGTCGATTCTCCATTATGTACTGTACTGGAAAGCTGAGCTGTGTTAGACAATGGCTGAAGCCGGGCAATACAAGTCCAACTGTTGCTGAAAGACAACTGGTGCCTGCAGATCTACATTTGATATTCTGCTTCCAGAAGGATTTATTAAGGCTTGCATGACTCTATGTGAATGCAGAGAGGCAGTTCATAGGTCGCTGTGGAAGCAGAAGCAGTGGGGTCTGACTCCATACAACTGTTGTTTTGTGTAGCTTGACAGAGTGTATGAGGTAGTACTAACCCATCACTTCATCTTTTACAGTTTCAAGATGGTTTATTACTTGACATTAATTGAGGTGGAGAATACAGCTTCAGTGGGCTTTTGACAGCTCCCTAATAAAGCTGAGAAGAGTAAGCCTATTCCTGGTATTTGATAATCAGTGAATGTATAGTACATTATGAGTCTCAAAGGCATATTGGACTAGATAAAATTCTTTGGGAAAACTATGGCTGACCAAGAAATCGCTTGTACTAACTTCACTCAGCTGTAGCTGGATTTGCCGACACTTCCTAACTTTATGCAGTAATTAGGGCTACAAAGATGATTAGGGGACATGAGCGTCTCTCTATGAGGAAAGGCTGAGGGAGCTGGGCTTGTTTAGCCTGAAGAAGAGAAGGCTGAGAGGGGACCTTAGAAATGCTTATAAATATCTGAAGTGTGGGTGTCAGGAGAATGGGGCCAGACTCTTTTCAGTGGTGCCCAGCGACAGGACAAGGGACAACGGGCACAAACTGAAGCACGGGAAGTTCTGTCTGAACATGAGTAAGAACTTCTTCACTCTGAGGGTGATGGAGCCCTGGAACAGGTTGCCCAGAGAGGTTGTGGATTCGCCTTCTCTGGGGATATTCCAGAGCTGCCTGGACGAGGTCCTGTGCAGCCTGCTGTAGGTGACCCTGCTTTGGCAGGGGGGTTGGAGTAGATGACCCACAGAGATCCCTTCCAACCCCGCACATTCTGTGTGTGAATTGTGGAGTGAGCAGAAAAGGAGAAGCTGGACTGACAGGGGACTGCCCCACTGTACAATTTTGTGCAATGCGCTGTGGTACTGTGCTCCGTTGCTGTAGGAAGTGGTTTGAAATAATTTCCTTCCTGCAGAGGACTGGTTTGCTTTCAGCAAGAACAGAAGAGGGAGCCATTCCCTAAGCAGAGCCCGCGTAACCTGTTCCCGAAGCAAAACGGGGACCTTCCTGCCAGATCATTTGAATTGCAGCCAGCGGGGCATTTGAATTCATGCTGAGCTCTGAGCTCCTGAAAACTCTCACTGAAATCAGCAGGACTGCTGATGCTCCTGAAGTTAAGTGGAAGTAACAGAGAGTGGAAGTGAGACTCCAAATAAACATCGACCATTACGATGTAAGGCCTGGCTCTTGCAAGAATTTAATATACCCTTGGCCAAATCCTGCAGCGTTTGAGAGCCTTTCAGGATTTGGCCAGAGTGCCTGAGCATTTTGAGGCCTGAAAAATCACAGTGTAGGAGCGGACGTTTGGATCCTCTTCCTTTCTCTTACTGCTACCTGACACCTCTGACAGAAATGCTAATCTAAGTATTTAGATGAGAGACTGAACATCTAAATGGGATTAACCACAGCCAGTTCATTCACAGGCATCTGCAATTCTGTTTTTCTTTCCCATAGAAAACTAAAGACATACTAATCTTATTTTTCCTTCCATTTGCTGTACTTTTTCATTCTCTTTTCTCGTGTAAAAAAATGTTATTGTTGCATACAGGCTGCAGGCATCCATTGTCTACATACGAGAAAAAAATGAAGCAAAACCACTGCCATTCTTCAAAACCAAGCTGAATGTTATTGAATAAATGCTTACAAACTGAGTGGACAGAAATACCTGATATAAAAATATCCTGGGGAAATACAGTTCCATGGTATTTTGACTCACACATTTTAATGAAAGAAGTGATCGTACTTTTTTTTCATCAGCTATCTAATTCTTATCTACTGCATGGAGTGTGTGCGAAGGGGTAACTGTGTCGAGAGGAAAGATTTGTGACTTGGTATTTCAATCTTATAGTATCAATATGAAGTTAGACCTCCGAGTACCATATTTCATGTGAAAGTTTGTTCTCATTAAGGATAGGAGATTCTGTCTTCGTTCAAATAGATACCATTTTGCTATCTTGACAGTGAGGAGGCATTTGGATTTCTGTGCTGACACAAATTAGACGCTTACCTGCAAAGAAGGCTAATTCAAGAGCAAGCACAAAGTTTTCCAAAATGACAGACCAACACCCCCACCACAGATAGGAAAAATCCCCATAAAAATTCATTTATTTGCATTGCAATTGCTGCAATTCCTCATTTGTTTTTAGGAAAATGGAATCAAGTTAGTGAATCAATCAAATGGAGTCTAATTATACAGATGTAGTCTATGCTTGTTTGTTGAACTGCTACTGCTGAAAGCATCTGCTTTCAAATTCAGGTAACTCAAGTGATGGTTTAAAAGGCCAGTGCTTAATTGCAGTTGTTGCCTAATTGCTCATAACTCTGATAAAATACTTTTGTTAGAAAACTGCTTGTTATTTTTTCAGTATACTCTGGACTTTATGTTGATGCCTTTGCAGACATATTGTCATTACAGAACGAGTGCACCGCATTCCTTTAGTCACAGAAAGACAGAGGTGAAGAACAGTTTGTTCACCTGCACCTTCATTTATCTACATTGTACCTGGCCATATGATGTCTGAATTCTTCCCCAGGAAAGGGGGAATAAGGATTGCAAAGAATTAGAACAAAAGGATTATTTTCTTCCTTGTATTACAGAAGGTACAGGAATTTTTTTCCGTAGGGTCAAGAATAGCTGTATGTGTGAGGATTGTATTCTTTTCCATGTCACTAGGAGTTGTTCCACAAAGAGAGTATAATATGCTGTAGAGTTTGCATACCTCCTCAGATGTAGTTGTGAATGCAATCTATATGCCGTTTTTTTAGAATTCCTTTGTTTCTGATTAATCCAGAAAAAAAAGCAATACATAGGTGGCAGCAAATCTTCATGTATCCTCAGCTGTAAGAAAACAGCAGCTAATTTAATTTCTCGATTCATAGAATCATAGAATACCAGGTTGGAAGGGACCTCAAGCATCATCTGGTCCAACTTTTCATGGCAAAAGCA